GTGGGCGCCTGTATGATCTCAGACGCCCGCATGCGCGCCGGCATTCCTCGGCGTTCAACCTTCATCTTCTCTACGCTGCTTTTAGGAACCCTCAGGCTAGCCTCTGATTGGCGACTACTTGAACGATGGATTCTCTCATCGCGAAAGCTGACGCACTAGGATCCGTCGCGAAAAGACGAAAGATATACAAGGACGAATATAGGAAGAAGTCGAATGGGTCATCATCTCGCTCTGCCGCTCCGAGCGACCCTACGACGGGTTCGGTGTCCATCCGTACATCTGTGCCCAAGTCTCTTCGACTCACATCCCCCCTCCGGAGAATGTGGTGAAATATCCTCATACAAAGGACAGGAAATTACGCACCCAGCTTACACGGCAATCCACCTGGTCTGTCGCAATAAGGTATTACTTTAAGATGCGAAATTACTGTTGACAGAGGAAGCGGGGAAGATAGACGTAGAGGGGGAGATAGAGAAGACATGGAGGGTAAGTCGGGATGAAGCGATAAAAGCTGCAGGCCAGGAGGCGGCGAGGGGAAGGAAGGAAGGAATCTTAGATAGTGGCCCATACCGCTCAAGGTATACCCGGAATGGCAGGTGCGTGTGTTTGTCTCGCGTAAATCTGGGTTACTGAGAGTTATGTCAATGTTCATAGGCACATAGCTGTTGTAGGTCGAAAAGGACATGTCGCCACGTTCGATTGGCAAGCTGGCGTTCTACATACACCTACAGCTGAGAGAGACGTGTAGAGATATGACGTCAATTCTTTTCACAACATAACATCGCAAAAATTGACTGACTCAGACTCATGTCTAGATTCTTACACGACCAGTCTCATTTCGCCGTCGCACAACAAAAATACGTTAATATCTATGACCGAGACGACGTCGAGCTACGTCAACTCAAATCTCATATTGGGCCGACACGGCTCGAGTTCCTACCGTTTCACTGGCTAATTGCAAACGTCGTATGTCCATCATCCTGTACATAGCGATTTCAAACCGTACTGATTCGCCTTAAGGGCAATTCTGGATACTAATCCCTCTACCGGTCAGCCCCTCGTTGAACATCGCACCAAGCATAGTGCATGTACTGCTATGACTCAAAACGAACATAATGCTATCATTCACCTGGGACACCAGAACGGCACCGTCACGTTTTGGACTCCCAATCTGCCATTCCCCGCTGTCCGGTTTCTGTCACATCTAGGGCCTGTCGTCAGTGTCAGTGTAGACCCAAGTACTGGTGGGACATACGTGGCTTCCGCAGGGCAGGATGGGACTGTGAAGGTCTGGGATTGCCGGAATTGGAAGGGTGCGGTGCGTCAGTGGAATGTGAGAGGAGGGGTGGTGAGTTGGAGTGGAGCCAGAAAGGCACATTGGCAGTGACAACAGGCGGGTGTGTAAATGTAAGTCTTCGTTGCGAATGGGACGGTGCGAGCGCGCTGAACCTCGCGATAGATTTACACAACGGCTTCTATATACGCTTCTTTCTCCGGGACGGTCTCTCCGCTTCTATACCTGACACATCCGATCCCACACAGACTATTAACGTCAGCGAGAATGTACTTACCATTGGCCATGCCGCTGGTCTCTCAAGCATTCTTGTGCCTGGCTCCGGAGAGCCGAGCTTCGACAGCGCAGAGGCCGATCCGTCTGAGAACAAGAAGGCGCGACGGGAGAGGGAGATCAAGAGTCTCTTGGATAAGGTACGCGGATAGCTGAGTGACTTTTTGACCTTGTTGCTGATAACACGGATAGGTACAGCCCGATATGATCACGCTGGACCATCAGTCCATCGGTTCTCTTGCTCCTCCTAAACTTTCTACCGCTACCGAAGGACTTCACGATATTCCTTTTTCACACCTTCCCCGGTTGGAGCGATTGCGCGTGTAGGGGAAAGCTGATGAAACGGATGGTGATGACCCAGTGGATGACGAGGGTGACGAGGCTAGGCCCTCAAAAAAATCCGCGCACGAAGAGAAGGAGAAAAAGAAGATGCGTAGAAAGAATAAAAGTCTCAAACGGTGTCTTGGAGTAGATACAAACATGGTCTCCATCTCAATGTTCGTCGAATAGATACCTACGCAAGCAACGGAAGAATGTTATTGACCCTCGTGCGGTATGTCTGGAGATTTATTACAAATTTAATTTTCTTGTGAAGTCTTATTTTCTATTTCTCTTAGATTGCCGTCAAAGCGAAGTTAGAGAAGGAGCGGGAAGAGAGGCTGAAAGAGAGAGCCTTTGCCAATGGCGCTGAGAAACAGAAATCATCAGTGTTGGACCGTTTCAAACGCTGTACAGTCTCTTTTCGTCAGAAATGGTATCCAGAACCATGAGCGGAAGAGAGGCCGCAGGATTATTACGGCGGATTGCGGGTTGTTGAAGGGCAGACCAATGTTGAGAGATCTTGCGAACGCCGTTGAATGACTTTTTGAATTGGATATCGGACAGCAGTATATAACTCTATTGTGTATCATATTGTTGCATTGTATACTGGCACAACGATCGTTGTAGTTTACAGCAGATTGAACATCAATAATTGTACACAACTGACTGCATTCAGCGCAGATGACCTGAACCTGAATCGGGAGGGTCGATTGCTGGAATGGCTGGAATGAAATTGGATAAACACGAAGGAAAATGGGGATGATCAGTGTTTCCTCACTAGGATCAAACAGGAGTTTGTTTGAAACAGACAAGCAGAAAGCCTTTCAAACTTCAGGCCAGCGAAATTTCAGAAACTCTTAGCATACATGACAGAATAGAATTGTTATTTGTTGAATGTGTCACTAAACATAATTCATACATGCTCCTTTGCTTCATCGTTACAAAATGACAGAACATCGTACAAAAATCGTGACTGGAGAATGCACACATCCGTGAACTTGGCTGGGACGTAATACAAGAAATAAGATAGTCTAGCTCGAGGTCACTGCGCAGTAGTCAGCATTGCCTGCGGGGTTGAGAGCCCAGCTGGACGCGAATGCGCGGGGTCAATTGTCATCTAACGGGGCAAGAGTGGGACTTACGTAGGGAATGCAACTGTATTGCCACCAGCACCACCGACGGCGAACTGTGTGAAAACATCGTCAATATTGAACCCAAAAGAGAAGTGAAGCGACGTACAGCGTAGATGAACACGAAGATTTGAGAGCCCTGAAAAACAAGCAGTATATCAGCGCTGCTCCGTAAAAAAAAGGCATGAAAACATCAAAGGAAACATACCCCGTCGACCGCGGCACCGAGCAAGTACTACGAACACAACCAGGAGCATTAGACTGATTCAGAGCACAGAATGACAGTCACATACGTTGTACTTCCTGAACCATCCAGCGCGGTACCGACGGATGTAGAAGTGCGAGAACAGACCGACCACGATCCAGGTGTCGATGTATCCGTTAGTGCCACCTGCAAGGTCACCAATGTAGTCTGTCGCAATTTCGCCGGCGGACCAAACGTCAGCAATGTTATTACATGAAAAGAAAGGGTGTAATTGAGATACGCACATGCGATGACGGCAAAGTTCAGCTCCTTGCACCATGCCCAGCGGAAGCGCTTGTACAACAGCCACGGGATGATGGGTACACCGAGACCGATGACACAGCCGAGTGGAATGATGAAGTACGTGCCGCCCGGACCGACTAGGGTACAGATATGCAAATTCCGTCAGTGAACAGCATCATATACAAACTTTGCGACTCACAGATCTCCGAGCCGAGAGCGCCCCACATGATAGCTAAAAAAGGTCAGTATGGTGTATGTCGAAAAAGGGGACCACAAACCGAGCGCATTGTAACTCTGGACTTGCTGTCCACTCCACGTACGTGAACCCTCGTTACTCAGCTACGCATCACCAGGTTTTAGTAACTTATTTAGTGCAACAACTAGCAGAAACAGCTCACCAGAATCGTGCGTTCGTTGTTGACGACATCCTGCGTAATGACATCTAAATAGCACGGCCATGAAGATCAATATGCTATATAGAAGGGGTACTGTTGAGGCCTACAGTTGAAGACGCCACCGATAATAGTGCCGACAATTTGGACGATGAAGCACACCTAAACAGATGAGAACATGATTCAACGTGTGTGACAACATATTGGCGCAAATTTGCACGAACTCTGGGCGGAACTGAGCACACGATATCAGTTCACGGCTGCCGCAAAGAGGAACAAAATGAGATCGTGAACTTACGCTTGGTGTATTGGCCTAGCTTCAAATCTGACAGCATCGCCTGTGCCTGGGTGAGACTCTGGCTACTGTATAACTCGAAGTACTGTCCATCATCATATCAGTGCCAGGTCGACTTGGGATGGGAGTAGTAGTGAAGCCGCATACGTACCATGTTGGCCTGCGACGACCCAGGGGTGAGTCCCGCGCCGATCATCTGGAAGAGTGGCGTCATGTACGGGCTGAATCTGCATATCACCGTCACCGTCAGCCATGTCCGAGCAGCCACATCAACATAGGTAGGAGGACAACGCACCCGGTGATAGCTCCCATGGCGCCGACGAACGGCAGCATGATCGCAGCGAGCAGCAGACCGACAATAAGTCCCCACCACGGAAGCCTGGTTAGTCATCAGGCCTCTAGATGTATACAAGGCAGGTTCGTGAGTGGACGTACGAGGATTTGGATGTGTAGATGCATGCCACTGATTAAGAGTATCAGTTGCCTCGTTCAAAACATGAATCAGCGGGTGGAGATAGTTGCACTCACTTGCGGCGGCGAATGCTGCGCGGACAGGGGCAAATATAAGTGAAAGTGCCCTTCAATGATGACCCAGATACGCACCCGCAAGGAAGACGGCCGCATACCACCAGAAAGGTACTGAAGGATAAGATTCAGTCTTTTAAGATATGGTGGGATTCGAATGTAGTCTTACCCTCCTTGTAGATCTATGTGTCACGGACATCTCGAATCAGTATGTGCAGTTGCGCCAGTATCAACATGTGACAGACGCACAAGCATCTTCTTGTAGTGGGCATCCTCAATCTCCTTGCCGGTGAAGCTGAGAGTAAGCGGGTAATGTCAACAACACGCGTGCCGTCTTTTACGCAATTGAATGTACTCACTAGTCCTTGAACGCGCTCCAGAGCTGTGTTGGGCAGCCAGCGTCAGCAATCACATTATATTACCGCAAGACGGGGAAGGCCAAACCTCTTGTCCGTGCCACAAAGCAATGTGCACAAATGTAGCGCCAATCGCAATATTCATTCCGAGATAGTAGATCTATTGCATCGGTTTCACAGAACATCAGTTTCTTCATTTCTGAAACAGAGCGACAGGACGGACGATGTTCGAGCCCGACTGATATGGCTGGCCGTAAATTTCGTAGGCCGTTTTGTTAAGAGAGAGATCGCTGCATTTAGTTTGGTCTTATTAGCATGTAAAGTTATGAACGGACGACAAATGACGTACGGGTTAAGGATCAAGTTCTGGTCATAGAGCGATCCGTTCTCGACTGTGTCGAAGGTTAGTAAAGCGTCGTCTATCACGGAAATGGAAACTCACAGAACCTGTAAGGAACCGTCGATCCCTTAGCAAAAATCATAGAGCTACACAGCGGGAAAAATACTTACAAGTTCTGAGAGATGAACGGGAAGTTCTGCGACTTCCTGTGAGTCCAAGGAAAATGCGTGCGTTAGTTCTGCGAGACAACATGTCGGAAGGAAGCCTGTGGCAGGCAAGAACGCACCAGACGTTGCCGTAGTAGACGAGCGGCAAGATGAGGTAGCACAGCGTCCAGCCAATGTAGTCTGCAAGTCCACATGCTTCAGATCTGTCCAACACTCATGTGAGAACACACATACTGGAGATCTGCGTGGAGAGCGGCAGGTAGAATGGCGCGCTGGTGATGTCTACAGAACCCGGTACTCAGCATCCACCCAACGTTCAGAAAACACATGACACGTACTAGCCCAGTCCACGCCGAACCCGAGAAGGCCCATGCCCTCGTCTGCCTCAGCGCCACCAAAGATGTATGACACCCAGGCCGAGTTGCGGTCCGCGAGACACACGATATTGAATGCGCCGAGCAGTGGTGCGATGTACTCTGGGAACCACTCATACACGAAACTGCGCAGAAAACTGTCAGCCGGGTGTGCACGACCGTCGAAGAGGCAATACGTACATGGCAGAAGTAAGAATCCAGAAGAACCGAAGACTGTGGGGCGAAAACGATGGGGGTTAGTTAACATGGTCTTCCACGGCTACAGTGCGCAAGGAACGCACCGCTTGCCACGCATCACATTGCTCTTTCCCTGGCCACGGTGTAGCACATCAAACAGATTGACATAGATCAGGTTGATGGGGTATAACATGATGGTGGGGTACACGAGGAACGAGCCTAAGGACAGCAAGTTAGCGCGTGCGAGAGAAGGAAACGGGCATCGGATACGCACGGAACATGCCCGCGAACCCGTAACCAACAAGCTGGGACGCGAGGACGGTGAAGATCGCGTTGCCGCCCTGTGAGTGGAATGGCAGGTGAGCACAGTGGGTGCAGAAAGAGAAAGAAAACTGACATTGATAGTCATGTTGTAGAACAGGTCGTCGGACGCAAAAACCATACATGCTGTCGCTGTCCCACTGTACAGAGGGAGCGG